AAACCCTGGAGGGAAAGAGAGAACCCAGAATGAATTCATGGAATTGGCATTAGGATCTGGATTCAGTGGTATCAGATTCGTATCTTGTGTTTCTGGCTTCTGGGTTATGGAGTTTTACAAGTAGACATTTATATATAATATATGCTTGTCTAGTGTGATTCACATTGTACTTTTGTTATCCTTGGTTTTATACTATTTACATGCATTTATATATACTATGGTTGCTCACTGTATGGATAAAATTTTTATACAGTTTAATAAATATTTTTACCGTTGCTTTTCTATTGGAATTGAAATTTTATCTTGGTAATTATAATTTATAATTAAAAATTACATTAGCATCGCATCTGAAATCATGATGAGAATGTGTTAGTAATATATTTTTTTTTTTATCTTTTACTCTTTCGCTTTCGCTAGTACCCTTGCTTCTTCTTTTCTCTCAATGTTTCCCTCTCTGGCTCTCTTATCCCTCCTTCGTTCATTGCTCTGTTTTTAGTCGGCATCATTTTTTTTCGCTCTTTTTTCTAGGTTGCAAGCATTTTAGAAACTAGATTCTGGAAATAGAAATGGTGAGAGTACAAAGAGAAAAAGATGAAGAGTAAATATAATAATAATAATAATAATGGTTGGATCAACAATTTTTTTTTGGTAAAAACGAATAGTGTTCTTTTTTTGTCATCTTTGGAAAGTTCATCTTATATACATATATCAAAAAAAAAAAAATCTTACACATTTAGTCTCATGGGTCAGAAAAATCATAATTAGGTGAAAAGAACATTACTCCCTAAGTCAACATAGATTTCCTCCTTTTTTTACGCTGTGAAGCGACCTTTATTCATAAAATCAAGGTAATCTGAATCCATCCAAATTAATTCAATAAATTTGTTCTGAATTTTTTTAGTGTTGGAATTATTCATTCTAATTCAACTGTACAAATCAAATAATATTTTTTTATGCGTGATTTAATATGATCCAATCATTTATATATATATATATATATATATAGATATAGATATAGATATATATTATCTTTATAAAATAAGTGCTTAAAATTATAAAATATAAAAATAAATTATTACTAATTTTATTATTTTTTATCCTAAATTTTACTATTTCATTTTTAATCTAACTAAATAAATCTCACAAAATTACAAATACATATCTTAATACAACATATCAAATAGAAAAAATAAATAGAAATTATTGATTAATTTACTAAATAATTTTTATTTGCAGAAAATAAGGTATTTAATTTTTCATGAATATGTATTTTATAAAATTTTATTATGTTTTTATAAATGGATAAAAAAAATATATTTATTATTCACATTTATTCATTTAAGTTATCTATTTATAATCTATGATGATTTTATTTGTAGATATTTATAAATAAGAATTTTTTTGTCGTCTAAATTTATTTTGAAATTTAATTTATATTATTATTTATTTTATCAGCGAGTAACATTATATTTGTAATAAGATATTAAATAATTTATATCTATTATAAAATATTTTAATTTTTATAAATAAATAAATAAATTTAATTATATTAATTTAATTGAATAATCTAATCTAATTTGTTGGTTATTGAGTTGAATTGAAATTGATTTAAAAAAAATATAAAAATTCAATTAAATTTTAGTTAAATTAGATAACAAATTAATTTAAATTCAACCTAACCCAGCCCTCTTGCACTCGATCAAATTGTATGAGAGAAAACTGTCTTCAGTTGTCTTTCTCTAACCAATACTAGATGCTTTGCAAGATGGAAACTTGGGAAATTTTAATCATTCATAAAGATCCCTTTCATGATTTTTTTTCTTTTTTAATTAAATGTAATGCAAACCTGGTGGCAAACCACTCAATATTAAAATCTGGTTTAAAATTGGACAAAACGAAACTAGTTACATAATGCCAACTAGCCAAAACATTGGCAAAAGTAAACTAGAGTTCATCATATTGATTTTTTTGGAATTAAATAATTCCAATCAAAGTCGGCTCTTGGATTCAATAAACAAACAAAAGATAACTCAAGATGCAAGTATAAGGATCCTTGTGGAAATCAAATATGAGGAATGGTATAAATATTTAATCCAGTAACGTATGAAGGGTTTATTATTTAGTTGTAACTTGCAACTTAAGGATTCACCCAGTTCCTCAAACATTTCTGGTCACCGGGCAACTACCATTGAACTTTGGGAATGGAAGGTTCAAACAGGGGAAGGTTAATGCTAGCATTATTAAGTCAAGTAAGGATGACCTTTCACCTAACTTGAAATTATGGACTACACATTCCAAATTGTATACATTTTTTTTTTATGCATGTGGATATTCAAGTCAACTCTGAGTTATATTATTCCTACACATACTGTCTACAATACTTTCTTCGAGTACATATGTTCTTTCTATCTCTCTTCATTACATCACCCCCAGCATTGTTCTATTTCTCACCTAATTGTATTAAAATAGTTGTTGGAATAATAAAATTCCTAGATCTCTTGGCATACTTTCACATCAAGTGAAATGGAAATATTGTATCAAGGCTGCGTGAAGGCATGCTGCATGCTGATAGGTAACAAATATGGTCATAAAGATATTCTTTTAAAGTCAATGAATTCAGCTTTATAATTGCTTCTTCTCATCCTTGTAACCAACCGCTACAGATAATTGAGGAAATGAGATTGTCTTAAAACTTAAAAGTGGATTAATATGTATAGAGAGATACAATTTTTTTTCGGAACATATTATTTGGGATAAAGTGTGGTCAGAAGCTTATGGCGACAAAATGAAGCATGATGACATCTTAAACAGGAAGCTGCAAGATATGACTCTTTCATGTCAACAGCATCTCAGCATTTCCTAACTCTTTCAGTTGCTCCCCAGTATTTCATTATATGTTTCTTTTATTTTCCGTACCAAAGCTTCCCTGATGATATTCAATTAAACAGGTTTAAAAGACATGACTTCTATAATAAAAGTGTTGAAAAACTTTAATCATCAAGTTAATGATACATTGTACCAAAATGTAGTAATTATTCAAGAATAATTGTGCTCACCTGTCTGGCTTGAAAACTATGTTCTTATATGCAAACCACTGCAAAGAAAAAAACAAAAAAAAGATGAATGATGGAATCCAATTCAACAAGACTTTTTAAATAAACCATTATGTATTTGCAATTGTTAAACCCCCTCTGGTTTTGACTATTCTGTATTTGTTGAATAGTGCCTCACCCTGGTTAACTGGTTACGGGAGTTGAAGTGCATAACTCATTTGTTAAACCAGTTAGACAACTACCATCCAAGAAAGTTAAAAAATTAATATAAAAAGGAAGTATTTCTCAATTGAGAGTAGTATTTGATTCTTAACATAATAAGGGGTAGAAAAAGATTATGGCATGTTTTTCCAAAAGCATTTCTAAGAGGAAAAAATAGGATGGAAAGTCAAAATAAGTTTCTTCTTAAGTTAAACTTAACTTATAAGAGAAATTAATAAGATAGAACTTCTATAAATTAGCTTAAGCATAAGTCAATTTTAGCTTGTGGAGAATTTTATTTCATTTTTCCTACTTCTTTTTCATTCTGAGAGGTATTTCTAGAGAAGTTTACCCAATTAGACTCTATGTATTAAGAAAGTAGAATAAGTTTGGATTAAGATAAACTTTTCAATTGAGAGTAGTATTTGATTCCTAACATAATAAAAATAAACGAGTTTATAGGTACTTATGAACAAGTTGAGATACGCAGATTCATATTATTTTATATAAGCTTGATTCGTTTTATTTTCTCTCACAAGTACTGAGAAATTAATCCAAATTAACTGGTTCTAGGTTCTTAACCTATTGTTGTGATCATAAATGGTGTAATTGATGTCAGCAGTTTAGTATACTTCACTTACCCCAGTGTAGCCAATGCCTACAACCTCAAGAACCCCAGGAATCAAAGGAAGCCTATCAATTGCCTGTTACAAGTGATACTAACTGCTTAGAAAAATCTCAAACATATGATCAAAAAGAATTGCTATATGTAACTAGCAGCCAATAATAATGTAAAAATCCAAAATAAACACTTGAAATAACCTACTGAGATCAACCCAACTGAGCCCCACAATGCAATCACACCAGCCACGGCCAGTGAACTCACTGCATACTTATCATCAACTTTGTCCCACTGAGCAAAAAAAAAAAAAAGAAGTCATAATTTAAGTCAGAAACAAAGGTAAAACTCCAATTTGAACTCAAGAGATGCATTAAAAGAATTAGAGACTCTCACAGCTTCTTGAAGAGTCTTGACAAACTCTGGCGTCTCAGTTGTGGCAACTTCAGCTGGTGCCTCTCCTGTGGCCATTGCCATAACATTACGAGCAACCTTGCGACCTGAAAAGCACTACATCAAGCACTAGAAAAAGTAACAATGGCCATACTGATTATTTCTTAGAATTTGAATTCGAGCCTAATTCAACCCCAAAATTTAACTTATGAAGTGATGCTTGCCAAAAGAAAACTAACTCATCAAGGAAAGTATGAAGTTTTCATAACTAAGCTAAGATAAATTTCAATAACATCTAAAATGTTTAGACTTAATTCAACTCTATAAGCTATTTTGTTTTTTCATTGTATCATAGACTAATCTGACTTATAGTATTATGACTGATATTAGCAAAGAACACGAGTTTTCACACACAACAAGAATCTAGCACAAGTTTCCCGTTAAATAGATCATCCTACTTATACAAACCATTTTAATCATATTATTGGTGAATGTGAGATCTCTGTAACATAATAAATATCAGTCCTAACAATAATCCTGCAAGTACTCGGTTGTTACACAATCATAATGTCCATTGATACATATTAGCTCACAACATTTCATCTTGTATCAGTCATTCACAAGCCTTCAATTTCTAATATTATTTCTAACAATGAATGAGTTTGGTGAAAGGGTGTGTGCAGTGTGCAGTATTTTTTGAGTGACTTACAATAAGTAGAGGTCTTCCATGAGCGGTTGTGAGAGTGCAAAGGTGGAGGGGGGAGGCTGACACATTGTGGGGAAGCAGCTGGTGACTGTCTTGGAGCCTTGGCATCAAGAAGGGTGGAAGAAGAGGATATGGTGAGAGCAGAAGAGGTTGAGGCCATTGCTATGTTTGCTAGTGAACCTGTTTTTGAGGATATAATTAAACTGTCCTATGAAAGAAGACTCTTTGAGTCCACCAGGGACAGAATATAGCTCAAGTTATGTCAGAATGTGGCTTAAGTTATTGATATGTTTCTTCTGTATCTAAATTTTTGGAAATGAGTGTGGAGATGATGTTCCCACGGTTCAAGTTGCAGCACAACCACTCGTTCCTTTTCATCTGGATAGTGTGTGTGCTGACATGGCTCCAAGATAGGGCTTTTATGGTATTTCAAAGGATAGGAGCTTCCTGGTTGGGCTTTCCAAACCAAAATTTTCTCCAAATAGTTACTCAATTCAGACCAACTTCTTGCAACTGCTTCAGAAAATTCGGTTAATCTTTCAACACCAAGACAAAATATCCTATAATAATTAGTAATTTTTATGTTGTTGGAGAAAGTTTTGGAGTGGGTACAAAAATTTTAATATTCATAAGTGCTTGAAATCAGCTAGGATAGTTTGCGTAGGTAAAAATTCCCATGGAACCTAGCTTCAAATTGAGATTTAGTTATTTTATTGAGATGTTTCTGGATGAACTATATATATACAATTAATTTAATAAATATATTTTGTTTGAGTCATGTTTTACAGTTTTAAATTAATTATTATTATCATTTTGCTATTTTAATTTTAATGTTTGGGAATTTAGTTTGTCCAAAATATTTTCTAATTTGTCAAGGATGCTGCTCTCCACATTATTGTCATATGGGAGTAGTACCAAACACAACAAAAGAGGCTACCTGAAAAAGAAAAAAAAAAGTGTTTTTTTCTTTGTAAAAGAAATATCTTGAATTATTTTCTTTTATAACTAAAGAAGAGGTGTATAGTTTCATTCATTTCATGTTTACTTGTCTGTGGAAAACAACTCTTTAACATGCAACAGACGGAATTGGAGTGTGTTTAGTTTTCATTTTGAAAGTTTCCTCTCACATACTTCTCCATTTAGTTGCCTAGAAATGAATGTTACCAATAAAACAAACATATACTTGAAATTTTTAAGAAAGGAATGTAATGTTCCCTATTTATATATGTATAAAAAAAATCATATTAGCAACTTTTACTTTACAATTTATTATACAACCCTTGTTTATCATGACACAGGGCTAAACCACAAAATCCATAATTGAAAATAAAATGGAAGGCTGGTGCATGGGCTTATTATATGACGTGTATTGAAGAAGCCCATCAAAGGCATCAAGATTTTGCTGTTATGCAATATGCATGGAACATGATGAAAATAATAAGGGGATCCACCAAATGGGCTAGGGCTGAAATTAATTTGGATAATAGCAAATAATTTACAGCCCAAAAAAAATAATAATAAGGGATCCACCAAATGGTCTAGACTGAAATGCTTGTGCCTTTTAGTAACTAGATAGGCTAATGTTATTTTGACACCATTTTTTTTTGTTGCTATGTTCGCATTCTTATATATATATTTTTTTTTTTGAAAAAAATATATGTTTACATTGTGTATTGTATTAACATAGATAAAAGGAATTTGTATCTATTATATATTACAAACCCCTTATCACGTCATCAAATAAGCACATGCGTCACAACAAAAACTTGATGCTTTTGATGGGCTTCTTCAAGATACGTACACAAGATTACCCTGTGCTTTTTTAACAGCAAATACGCAAAAAAAAAAAAAAAGAGTAGGATATTGTAATTTCTAAATAATTCCTACAATAACACTTTAAAAGTAATTAATTACTTCTCGTGATACTTAAATATATTTTTTAAATTCCAAAACAGTTTCTTTCAACACCTAAAAAATATGTTCTTACAATATAGTACAAACGCATCAAAATAACAAGCTCCATATCCAGTCCAAACATGTCATGCTACGGTAACATATCCGAACCTTGTTATCTACGCAGAGGGAAAAAAAAGAGTAAAACAGTTTTTTTTTTTATATAAAAAAAACTATTAATAATACACTTCACTGTAATTTATAATGCATTTTAAATGTTTTTTATTAAATATGTTTTACCATTAAATCTTTAATTAATATCTAGGTTATTGATTAATAAGACTATGAAAAAAAAAAAACAATATATATATATATAAATGATACAGAGCTTTGATTTTGACTTTTTAATAGTTGATTTAATCCTTCAATATTTAATCATTTTTTTTAATTATTCTATTTATTTAACTCTAAAAATGACATTAATTAAAAGGTGGGAAAGAGAAAGAAAATATTTTAATAGAAAGGAAAAAAGGGAAAAGGAAGAAAATGGAGGGAAGAGTTAAAAAATTTGTATAATTAAAAGAAGAGAAAGAGAAGTAACTCTTTTTTTTTTAAGATTCACGAGGAAGGATTTAAAAAACTTATTTATTTTTATATGCTTTTAAATTTAAATTTAATAACATAAATAAAAATATTTTAGATATTATATTAAAAATATTTTAAATTTCCTCTTCTTTAAATCTTTAAAATTGGATTAGATGAAATTTTGTTTTCCTCTCCTCTATTCCCTTCCAACCAAATATAATATTTTATTAATTTAATTCCAAAAAAACATTAATTAAAATTTTAGTTTCTATTTACCTGCATCCCATCATTGTAAATAAACTATAGTTCTTGTCAAGCGATTACTTTTCTTGTCTTAATATTCTATTTTTTTTTTAACTTTTAGTTATTTATTATTTATTTTCTATTTTGATTATTTTTTATTTTTTATTTTATTTAAATAAAATATATAGAGACATCTCGACCACCCTAATAATTAATAAAATTATTATAAATATATATTCACTTTCTCATCCATTTAATTTTAACCTCTTTTCTTTATATTGCTAGGTCCACTATAATAAGATATCTTTCTTTTTTATTATATCACTTATTACATTTATTTCTATACTTTTTTTACTTTATATTTCTCACTTCTTTATCACCCAAATTCACCTTAATAAAATGGGATACCTTTCGAATTAGGCTAATTAATATTTCTCTTCTTTGTTTTCTTATAAAAATATAAAAAGTATCAATTAACTCTCCTCTTAAATATTCTATACACATTATAAATAATATATATATATA